CACACACACACACACACACACACCACAACACATGCATGTACACACACAATTAAAAATAATATGGAGATGATCTAGAACCTCTGTTCAGATAGAGCCCATAGATTCAGTCTCCAAATAGGTTCCCTAGTAATGGGAACAGGGGCTGTCTCTGACATGAACCCAGTGGCTAGCTCTTTGACCATCCTCCCCCCTGAGAGGGAAGCAGCCTTGCCAGGCCACAGAGGAAGACAATGCAACCAGTCCTGGTGAGACCTGATAGGCTAGGGTCAGATAGAAGGGGAGGAGGACCTCCCCTATGAGTGGACTTGGAAAGTCATGGGAGGAGAAGAGGGAGGGAGGGTAGGATTGGCAGGAGATAAGGGAGGGGGCCACAACTGGGATACAAAGTGAATAAGTTGTAATAAATGACAATAATAATAATAATAATAATAATAATAATAATAATAATAATAATGAAATAAAAAATTACAAAATAAAGAACTCAGAAGAAGCCCAAATAAATAGCTTAAAAGTGCACCTAGAGAAAAAACAAGAACAAAAGATTCCAAAAGCAGTACTGGAAAAAGTAGAAAGAACCATAAAAGTTAATGAAATGGTGAAGTGAGTAAGATAACACCACCTTTTCCCAATGTTATTTTATGCCTACCTGATCACTTCTCAGTCTCCCCCAACAACCACATTCACCTTGGCATCACTTCTGGGGCCGAACATGATCTTGAACATATTTAAACATACTATGTATTGTCTGGAAGATACCACTAAGCCTTGCAGATGTTACTAGGCTATTCTAATTCCTTAGTAATGTAACTCCCCTTGCCCAACATCATTATGTCATACCTTATAACATATAACCTACTAAGGTGGTAAACCTAAAGAAAGTAATTAATTTCTATATATAGCCGATCAAAGCTATACCAAGAAAATATTGATAATTTAAACAGACATACAACAAAGAAAAAAATAAAGTAAAAAAAAAAACTACTGCTAACAACAAAACATTCTAGAAAGATTGACACACAATTCTAGCAGACATTTAAAGATAAAATACTTGTACAAACCACTCTGCAAGTCAGTCTGGCTCTATCTCATAAAGTTGGGAATAGCTCACCTCAACACCCATCTATACTACTCCTGAGTATATACCTAAAATATGATTTACCATACAGGAAGGACACTTGCTCAACTATGTTCATAGCAGCTTCATTTGTAATAGCCAGAATCTGGAAACAACCTAAATGTTCTTCAACCAAACAATAGATAAAGAAATTGTGGAATATTTACACACTGGAATACTACTCAGCTATTAAAAACAAAGAAATCATGAATTTTCATGTAAATGTATGGAACTAGAAAAGATCCTGAGTGAGGTAACCTAGACCCAGAAAGACACACATGGTATGTATTCACTTATAAGTGGATTTTAGCCATGTAATACAAGATTAGCATACTACAAACTCACAGATCCAAAAGAATATAATTAACAAGGATTACACAAGGGACAATGCTTAGTTCTCACTCAGATGTGGAAATAGGCAGCGGAAGTGGTTGAAGAGAGTGAACAGGATAAGAAAGGGAGCACGGAGAGAAATGTGACACTATCAGACATTGGGAGAGCAGGGGCAGGAATATAGGCAGCTTGCAGAGAGAAGGGAAACCTTGGGCAAATACTGCTCTGTGACAAGCTGGAGACCTAGGGCAGAGTAGGCTCCTGGGAGGATATGAGGGCGATTCTAACTGAGACTCTTAGTAACAGGAGTCATGGAGACGGAAGAGGGCACCATCTAAGTAGACATGGCTCCTAGTGGAGGAAGGTGAACACCAACCCACCTACAAAATGTTGACCCAAAATTTGCCCTGCCTACCACATGTACAGGGACAAAAATATAACAGAAATTGAGGGAATGTCCAACCAATGACTGTCCCAAATGGAGACTCACCCAATGGGAGACGGCAACCCCTGACATGATTAACAATGCACTGCTATGCTTGTAGATGGGAGACTAGCATAGCTGTCTTCTGAGTGGCTCCACCCAGCATCTGATGGAAAAAGATGCAGAGACCCACAACCAAACATTGGATGGAGCGAAGGGATTCTTGTGGAAGAGTGGAGGGAAGGATAGAGGGATCCAGAGGAGACAAAAGCTCCATAAGAAAACCAGTAAAGCTAACTAATCAGGGACCATGCATGGACTGGACCTAGGCACCCTACACAAACTTAGCCAATGAGAAGCTTGGTCCTCATATGGGTTACCTAGTAAGGGGAATAGAGACTGACTCTGGCATGGCCTCTATTGCCTGCTTTTTGATCAAATTTCCCTGGTGAGAGCTACCTTGCCAGGCCACAGGGGAAGAGGATGCACTCAGTCCTGATGCAATATGACATGCTGGGGTGAGTGGGTGGGGGTTACCCTTCTCTGAAGAATAGGAGAGGGGGAGAGGCAAAACAAGGAGAGAGGGTGTGATCAGGAGGAGAGGAGTGAGGAGGGTATAACTGGGATGTAAATGAATAAATAAAAATTAAAATAAAATACTATAAAAATTCTTCAAAAATATTTTTTAATTTTAATTTTTATTAATTACAATTTATTCACTTTGTATCCTTTCTGTAGCTCCCTCCCCCCTCCCCTTCCAATCCCTTCCTCCCTCTCCCTTCTCCACCCATGCCCCCTCCTCCAAGTCCACTGATAGGGGAGGTCTTCCTTCCCTTTCTTCTGATCATAGTCTATCAGGTCTCATCAGAAATGGCTGAATTGTCTTTCTCTGTGTCTTGGTAAGGCTGCTCCCTGCTCAGGGGAAGGTGATCAAGGAGCAGGCTAATTGGTTCATGTCAGAGACAGTCCCTATTCCCATTACTATGGAACCCACTTGGACCCTGAACTGCCATGGGCTATATCTGTGCAGGGGTTCTAGGTAATCTCCATGAGTGGTCCTTGGTTGGAGTATCAGTCTCAGAAAAGATCCCTGTGCCCAGATTTTTTTGGTTCTGTTGCTCTCCTTGTGGAGCTCCTGTCCTCTCCAGGTCTTACTATTTCCCATTTCTTTCATAAGATTCCCTGCACTCTACCCAAAAATTGGCCATAAGTCTCAGCATCTGCCTAGATAAAGAAATAAAAGGAATATTTATAAACATTTTAAGGAGATAATATTACCGTAATACCCAAACCATATAAAAACAAAAAAAAAATCCAGCAAAAATGGGAGGAATAATAGACAAATTACATTATGAACACAACTACAAAAATTTTCAACAAAATACTTGCAAGCAGAATAAAGGAACTGTTTTTTTTTTTTTTTGTGTGTGTGTGTGTGTGTGTGTGTGTGTTTTTTTTGCCAACTTGATATACACTAAGGCTACCTGGAAAGAGGGAAGCTCAACTGAAGATTTTAAGACAAATAATATAATTAGTAGAATACCTTGTTTGCTCTCCTAGATCATCTGTATACTTTTATTTTTATTTGGAAGCATTTCTTTTTGCAGAGTCACAGTTATAATCATCGAAAAGTACATGCACATAGATAATTTTATTGGGTTTCACTTAGCCCTTTGAATATTATTCTGTCTCCACATCAATCACTGCCTACTTCTAAAGTCTTCTTTTACTATGGTTGATAATAGCACAGATATACAGTTAAAATCATAGATATTTAATAGGAGTTAGACAACATGACTATTTTGCAAACTATTAATAGTATATTCATTTAAGGGAATTTGTATCTGACTCTCCCAGTTATTTGCATTTGATCAGGAATATTAGTCTGGTCATAAATTCCTTCCCATGGAAAAGGCCTTAAATACAAACAAAAGGTGGTGGGTCAGGCCATGGGAACAATGCCATTATTCTACCAATGACCAAGGTTGTTGTTGGTAGGACATTCTCTGCATGAAGAGATGGATAACACCACTAATGTCTTATCTTTCCCAGTGTTCTACAGAGCACCTTCCAATACTATGAATGTGAGCCAGCTCAGAAGTATCTCTGTCACTCTGAAATTTATTTTCCTATATCTTGGAGCCAAAGTATATTGTGGCTTTAGCAATAGGGTCATACCATCTAGTCATGGTGGAAAACTAAGAACAATGGAAATGGCCAGTGTTGTTTTGAAGGCCTCCTGGTCTTTTCTGCCTTATAAACTATAAGGAGGTAGCATAGTACAAACGCTTACAAATGTATATGTTAGCTGTGTGTTATATACTAATGCACGCATTAAGTACAAATTCTTGAACTAAACAGTGAATTTGTGTACATGGTCTTTCAAGAGATTATAATTTAAAAATTTACGTAAATGTTAAGAGCTGCTAACAAAGTTTTAGTCCTCAAGATTGATACAACTTAGAAAATATCATATGGCTAAATTAATAAACTTTTATTATGATATTATGCTCATGAATGAAAAAAGGATATGGAGTAAAGTCTACTGCTATTCCATGTATAACTTATTACTTTAGTGTCATATTTTAAAAATTTTTTTCTACCCTGATTGTCATCATTTGCACTAAGCAAAATGACGTTGCTACAATTTGGCAAAGGGTAAGTTAAAAGTTTGGGGAATGAGGGAGTGGGATATAACTGGGATACAGAGTTAATGAAATGTAACTAGTAATAAAAATAAAAGATTTGGGGAATGTGGTTTATATATATTTACATATATATGCATATTCAATTATATATTTATATTCAAATAAAGTTTACTCCATTATTATTCACAGAGAAAAACATGTATGTTCGGTAAAAATTGGTATGCTTTATGGAAGAAATAAGAGAATGGGTTGAATAATATTCTCTTGTGAAGGGTTATTCATGTTTGTATTCCAGTGAATAATTCACAATATTCTACTATTCATTACTAAGTTTTATGTTTTTCAAAGTGTATTAAACCTATACCTAAATTGGTAGACTGCTAAAAATATTGAATGTAAATAATTTTAAAGTTACTAATTTTAAATTATTCCACAGGGTCAGTCTCAGTTACTTGAATTATTTAGTACAGATTTCTGGATATTAGGAATTTCTTTTGGAATCAATGTAGCTATTTATAAACCTTTTCATAGCATTTTTCATCTCTTTATTTCTCAGTGTATAAATGGCTGGATTTAGGAGAGGTGTAAAAACAGAGTAAAATACAGCCAGAAATTTGTCCAACCAGGTGATTTTGAGGGGCCATACATAGATGAAGATGCAGGGCACAAAAAAGATCATCACCACTGTGATGTGGGCAGTGCATGTGGACAGGGCCTTAGATGCACCAGCTTTAGAGCTCTGGCGAACAGTTATAAGGATATATGTGTAAGATATGAGCAACAGAATAAAGCAGGTTACACCCACAACCCCACAGTCAGCATTCATTAAAATATCCAAGTCATGTGAATCCATACAGGCTAACTTGATTATCAGTGGCATATCACAGAAAAAACTATCAATTTCCTTGGGCCCACAAAAGGGCAGCTGCACAATCACTACCAGGTGACTCATGGCATGGATAAAGCCAATGGTCCAGGAAGTCAACACCAGCCCAGTGCATCTTTTCAGGTTCATGAGGGTGAAGTAGTGGAGTGGTTTGCAGATAGCCACATAGCGGTCATAAGCCATAACCACCAACAACACCATCTCTCCTGCAGCAATGCAATGGGCAAAGAAGACCTGAGACATGCACCCTGAAAAGGAAATGGTCTTGTTTTCTCTGAGAAAGTCTGTGATCATTTTAGGAGTGGTGACTGAAGAAAGCCACATATCAATAAAAGACAGATTTGCTAACAAAAAGTACATAGGGGAATGGAGATGGGAGTCAGTGGTTATTAAGACGACAATTACAATATTTCCAGATACAATGAACAGATAAAGTATCAAGAACATCATGAAGAGTAAGACTTGAATACTTTGTGAGTGTGCGAGTCCCAAAAGCACAAATTCTGATACCGTGGACTGATTCATTCCATCCATTTTATTTATGTCTTCAGAAACAAACTGCAAAGAAAAAAAAAAACATAAGAAAAGATCATCCTGAGTGAGGCATCTCAGAAGCAGACACACATGATATATACTCACTTATAAGTGGCTATTAGATATATGAAATAGGATAATCATACTAAAATCTGCACACCTAAAGAAGCTAAGCAGGAAGGAGGGCCCTGGGTGGAGGATTAATCCCTATTCAGAAAGGCAAACCATATAGACCTCAGAAGATAGAGAAAACAGGGAACAGGACAGGATCAAACAACAGAGGACTTCTGAAAGACTCTGCACAACCGAGTCTATCAAAGCATCTGTGAATCTCAACATCTATCAAAGCAGATGCTGAGATTCATAGCCTAACTTTGGGCAGATCGCAGGGAATTTGGTGAAAGAAGGGAAGATAGAAAGACCTGGAGAGGACAGAAGCTCCACAAGGAGAGCTACAGAACCAGAAAATTTGAACACAGGGGTCTTCTCAGAGACTCATACTCCAACCAAGTACCAGGCATGGAGATAACATAGAACCCCTGCACAGATGTAGTTTATGGCAGTTCAGTGTTCAAATGGGTTCCTTAGTAATGGGAACAGGGGCTGTCTCTGACATGAACTCAGTGCCTGGTTCTTTGATCACCTCCCCCTGGGGGGAGTGAAGCTATACCAGGCCACAGAGGAAGACAATGCAGCCAGTCATGATGAGACCTGATAGGCTAGGGTCAGAGGGAAAGGGAAGAGGACCTCCTCTATCAGCATACTGGGGCAGGGACATGGGAGGAGAGGAAGGAGGAAGGAGGAAGGGCAGGACTCGAAGAGGACGATGTAGGGGGCTTCAGCTGGGATACAAAATGAATAAATTGTAATAAATAAAAAAATAAAAATAAACATAAATTAGAGCGATGTGGAAAATTACTTAACTAGTTGAAACTTACAATCACATTGAAAGTTTAATGTCTACACCCAAAATAGAAAAGCATAAATGCAAAGGTGAGTTTTTGTTAGTGTTGAGAAAAATCACTGTCCAAAGTGAAAGCTAATCAGTTAAGAGCAACTCCCCAAGAAGAGAAAAATCGGATTTGATAGTTTTGCATGATCTATTAGGAAATTATCTTGTAGTAAATCAGTAACAAAGGCAGATAGCAACTTGAAAGCCTAGAAATATGTGTGGTTTCATCAGTAAGTTTATGACCATTAGTCTACTAAGAAATGCTCTGAATGTGACACCAGCAATTATGGAAATTCATAACAGAAATGAGGTTTATACTTTTGACCTGATTGGAATTACATTTAATTTCAGGGTAAAAGTTCAGGTAGGATCTTTTGAACAACTTTGAATTAAAATATTTTCTTAAAACTGGAAAGTAGATGTTCTGGCCTTGTTGGTGGTTAACTGCACAGAATACTGTATAAAAAATATAAAAACCAGAATCACAATATTTTTTTAACAAAAATCTATCACAAGATTTATTATTCAGCTAAATTGATTATTGAGCTACCATTGCAAACATATGTAGATTTGGTAACCAAGAAGGAGGCAACACATTTTATAACCTGAACTCTGAAAGTTATATTTAGTTCAGTTTTGAAATTAAAAAATACTGATCTTGAATTTTATCAACTAATATTCAGAATCCTATCCTGAAATATTATAGTTTTATTATAGGAACAACATATTATCCATCATCTATTTATAATCTGTTTTCTCATTATGTCACTTACGTATAGATAATCTATATTGTTTGAAAGAAGAAAAAAATATATGAACCTATAAGCAAATGGTGCCTTTGAATTTCAACCTTGTTGAAATTTCACTGAACAGCAGCACTTACTCTCTTCAAAGTATAGGCAGAGTGCTTGTATTGATCTGTAATAAAAATACTCAGGCTGGATAATGGGAAATTGTTGCCCAGTTTCTTTCAACTTCAGTAATTTTCCTGGCGAATTTTAGTTTTTTTGATCTCATTCTGCTATTTCCTGAGACCTCTGCAGTTAAAGAAGAGAGCAGGTGAACAATTAAAACTCTCTCATTATCATCAGAGTTATATTCACTTTCCTTTTTGTGAGGACTCCAAAGGGTGAGGCTGAAAAGTATGTTCTGAAGACATTAGGTAACACATACATTTGATGGTAGATGATAGTTTTGTATGCTACAAATCTATGTATTTTCAATAGATCACCAGGTTCTCTAAGGAAAATCCAACACTGTTATACCAGACAGGTGTGTAAAGCTGAAATAATAGTTTGATAATCTGACTTCTAATTGTATATTAGTTTCTTGTCATCCTGAAAATTTCCAGAATGGTGTTTAAAACTCATTTTGTATTTTCTGGAACAATTTACTCAGATGATAAAAATTTAGTGTTTCATTGTTCAAGATAGAAATTTGCTGTGATGTGTCCATACGCATTCTTAGAAGACAACTGGACGATAAAAATTTTAGCAGTTTTTAAATTAAGTTTATATTGTTATTATTCAGATACATGGAAGAATGGTCATAAATATATTAATATCAACCCAGGTTTATCACAGTTCCTAGATTAACATAGATTTTTAAATAAGGAAGATCTGATTTATATGTATCTAGCAGTTAATAACACATGGTATTCTATTAGAAGCATTTAATTCCATTTCTTTACCTACAAAATTAATACATCTAAGTCGATGCTATATTGGGAAGGTATAAAAAACACAGAGAGCAAGATTTCTTAGTATCTGTAGAAAAATGATCCAAAAGAATTGCCTCCTTCATATACAGTTTCATGTACAACTTAAAACAATATTGTTAGCACTGTTTCAGGCAGAGATTTTATTGTTCTGCTGAAAACTTTTTTCAGACTGTGTCTATGTGTATTACTTCATCTGAAATTCTTGCCTTTAAATTTGTGGCTATTCTCATAGAAAGTGCTGACTTTGGGTTTGAGATCAATAATATTAAAAAAAAATCAATGCAAGGTTAACAAACCAAATTATTCTTTTAGGAACATTTAAACCAAGTATTTACTCTTTCCTCTGATTAAAGATTTTTCCATATACATTGTTTTATTATCAAAGTTCTAAACTCTGCAATAGTGTCAATATTTGTATTTTGGTCAGTATTGTTGATAGCTTCAGGATTATATACCTTAAAATAGAACCTATGAGATGAATCCTGATGACTTTATATTGTACTGTAGTTACTCGTAAAGTCTTGTTTGCTGGTAGACTGCTTAATCTGATTTCTGAAATGAAGGGTAGTTATGTCTCTTCCCAGTCACTTGACTATTTCTTCCTCTTTCTGAGGTGAAAATTATCTTATTTATTGTGTACTCCATGATCAAACTACATTGTTCCTAATTAAGACACAAGGAATTCTTGTCTAGTGTTAGCTGTTCATACTTATCACTGGATAAGAAATGATGATCTTTTGATGCAGATACCAAGAGTGTGTTTTCATGGTGTGTAGTGCTGATGTTGATCCATGTGAAATTCTGGTGACTTAAAAGATAGGGAAACTATTTAATTAGCTCCTAAAAATAACAAAAGGTAAAGAAAAAGGCTAAAGTTCACATATAATGGAATTGGTAGAATAGATACCTAGAACTATTTCAAGAATCATCTTAGAATGAAAGAGAGATGAGATGACTTGCAAATTCATATTTTTCTTCTTCTTGATCATATTTTCTTCCATCTCATGTATGCTCATGAAGACATCCATTTCAGGCAGATGCAGTCTGTTTGAAGCACATCCTTTAAAAGTGCACTATATTCCCTGTCTGAAGTAGTTCCATGGGTGTATTCTCTTGTTCTGTTTTTCTGAATAAAATGAGAACCCTGGAGAATTTTTTCTTGGACACCTCTCAGGGATTTCTCTCTCTGTGAAATTACAGAGCCATTCTTGTTAGTCATCCCAGATTTGAGAAAATAAATATATTTTTCAATATTTTCCACTACATCAAAGAGGATATTCTGATATGTTACTATGTCTATTTCACCTAAATGAAAAAAAAATGTTTTATAGTTATGAGAGGCCATGCGCTGGATAGTGTGTGATATAACTAGAGCAAAAGCCATGCTGTGAATACAGTTTCCTAGTGCATGACAAGGTTGTGTCAAATTGGCAGGATATCTTGGTCACTTGATGTATGCATTTAGTTTGATAGATGACTCTGTAATGGTGGCAGGTATGAATTGAATGTCAAGTTATTAAAACCCCATTGTTAATTAATGAACTTTTCATCTTGAAATACTTCTCTTCCTTTCCTCCCAGTGCCCAGTGCCTTCCTTTGCCCTCCATTACCCCACAGTGACCCCTCCTTTTCTTCTTAGAGAAGGGGACTCCTCCTACTTTGGCATATCAAGTTGTAGTAAGATTGGGCACATCTTCTTTTATTGAGGGTAGACAAGGCCATCCAGAAAGGGAACCAAAGGCAGATAAAGAATCGAAGAGGCTCCTGCTCTTGCTGTTAGAGGTTCTCCATGATAACCAAGCTGTTGTCCAACATCTGTTACATGTGTATATGGGGGCATAGGCTCATCCTGCGAATATTCTCTGGTTGGTGGTTCAGTCTGTGAGTCCCTACAAGTCCAGGTTAGTTGATTTTGTAGGTGTTCTTGTGATGACCTTGACCTCTCTGGTTATTTCAATCCTTCCTCCATTCTCTCCATAAGAGTCCCGAGCTCTGCCTACTCTTTGATTGTGGGTCTCTGCATACTTTCATCAGATGAAGCTGCTGAGTGAAGCCACTCAGATGACAGGTATGCTAGTCTACTCTGCAAGTATAGAAGAATATTAATAATGTCAGAGGTGTGCTCTCTCTCCTGGCATGGGGCTCAATCTGGCCAGGCATAGGTTGGCCATTCCCTCCCTTTCTGCTTCTTATTTGTCTCTGCACCTTGTATAGGCAAGAAAAACTGTGGGTTTTTCCTTACCCACATCCCTCTATTGGAATTCTTGTCTGGTGACTGGGGTGACTGTTTCATGTCCATGTCTCCTATTGCTAGGAAACTTAGTGAGGCTC